TTCCCTTCTATTTTTTGGCCAGTCCAGCCCAGCAGTCAGTTTGAGTCTCTGCTCCTCACGGACAGTATTTGTGAAGATAACTTATGGGAGGTATGTATAGTCCTGGAAGACAGCAACCTCTTGTCCTAACAGGAAAATATGTGTGTGTGTGTGTGTACACACCACTAAGTGTTGTTGCTTGGAAAATGAACTTATCCCCATGTTTCTCCCCAAATTCACAGAAGTTTCAGAGTGGTGCTATCACAGTTGGGGAGTTTTTTAGACTTCTTCAAGTCCATGTGCTGATTCAGAAGCCCAGACACAGCCACCTTCCAGCCAATGTGAGTGTTTCCCCTTTGCTTGGAACAAGATAATTGACCTTACACCATATTTCCTTGTTCATGGGCACACCTGGCTGTGCTGCTCTGCCTTGCTTCAGCGCCTTGTTGCTGGCAATCAGATTTCGGTGTGTCAGCTCAGCAAGCACAAAGTCTGTCCTTTTAAAGCTCTTTCAAACTGTTATGACAAGAGAATGAAAACAGAATCACAACTAAATGAATCTTTGTATTAGATCACTTCATTTGTGACTTCTGAATCGCTTCCATTTTTAGCTAGACTGCTGTCCCAGCTTACAGTTCAGTTTGCACATTTATTCATACTGAGCTGTCTCTAAATATTCATCAGGCTTAATAACTCTGCTGCTATTCATTACTGACTGATCTCTGATGATAAAAAATAGACTCCGCCCCCCCAAAAGCCCCTGAAAGGTTTCTCTGCAAGGGTGGAACGAATTAATATCAGTTATTCCTGCTTCACTCTTTAATGGAATACCCTCCTCATGTTTATTTGAGGAATGAGCTTCCCTAAGGCTTGGGAAGTTTGATTCTGAGTTAAGCATAGTCAGCTGGGTTTATTTTGCCTGCTTGTTTTGTAAGTCTTCATCTAAAAGGGATTTAATGTCTTTCAATATTTAACTCGATTTTCTGAGCTCTAGTGATGATTCAGATATCCCAGAAGGAATCCTGTGCTCCAGCATGAGGAGACACAAGGCCTGAAAGTGCAATTGTACTGAATGGAAGTTACTATTGCTGAGAAAATACACTTTTTTTTCCTTTTCTTCCCACTGTTCCCTGTCTTTTCCCGCAGTGTGCTGTCAGTGCAGCTCCTACTCCAGAGGATCTCCTCTACAGCCAATACATTCACCGCCCCAAGCTGAGGATTTATGAGGAGGATTGCCAGGCCCTAACTCGGATAATAGATGAGTGAGTGCTTTTCCAGCCCCACAGGAGATTAGGAGTTCCATTTTTCCAGCTCTGGTTGCATGGAAAGCAACCTGGAGAAATGAATACCTTACATAAAGGAAAAAGACAAGTTGTAGTTAACCTTCCTTGTGGCTGTAGAAAGTTTATTGCAGATTAAAAAATGAGCTGTATAAATACCAATTTGCTGCTTCATGTGATCAATGCAATTGTAACAAGACTTCCAACCGTTTTTTCCCCGTGTTTCAGGTTGAAACCATATGCAAAGGTCCAGGATCAGCTCCTGGTGAATGTGAACAGGAGTTTGTGGGAAGTAATGAGAACCTGCTCTGATGAAGAGGTAATGCTGTGTGCAGAATGGTTCACACATTGTGAGGAAGGGAGGTTAATTTATGCTTTCAGATCAAATAGGAGCCAGAATAATCACAGGATAACAGTAGGTGAAACAAGGAAAAATATTTTCTGAGTAGAAAGTTGCAGAGGCATGGCAGAAGATTGTAATGATGTGTGTCCTTTAAATCTATTAGAGGGAAACATAAAGCACCTGAAGTCATTTGCTTGTAAAACTCAGAAGCACAATGGAAGGTTCCCACTGGAATTAAGAAGGTAGATCAATAGATTTTGTTTTCCATGGTTCTAGTGCCAAGAATAAAGAGCTATTGCATAAAAATAGAGAATCAAAAGTGATCCAAGACAGTATTTTCCATAATTCATCATTAGCTTGAGACAGGGTATCCCTGTAGTCGTTTGATGCAGGATATCGTTAGTTTGGTATAGGCTGTCCCTGAGGGTAAGCTGTGAACTGGAGTTGGGTGGGTTTATCTTTCCCATTCACCTTCTCTCCTGTATTTCCCACTCATCACAGCTGAAGAACTTTGGAGCAGAGCTGAACAAAATGAAATCCTACTTCACCAAGGAGAGTAAGATCCTGGCTCACAACGAGAAGGAGACGTTGTACAGCAAACTGCTGCAGAGTGCCCAGGTGAGGAGCTGCAGGGCTCCAGCTTTACAGCCTTACACATTTCTTGTCTTTAACTGTCTTTTAAGGAACTTAACTGTTGGAAGTGTGAATTCTCTTGGGAGTTTCCTTCCTATAAATGCATTTCTCTTCTATTTATATGCAAATATAACATTGGGACAGTGACTTTTGACTCCTCACACATGGCTACTTCCTCACTGTTTGGCAGTTACCTCTAATGGCACACTCTACCAGCTCTTTTAATTAATTTCCTACCAGGCCAAGAGCCATGTTTAACTCCCAGGTGTCAATTCTGCTTTTAAAAGACATCCTTGACCTGAGTACAATTTTCCCACCTTAGGAACAACACAGAAACCTCCAGTCAAGAATAGAAAAGGTGGATGACCTGCTGCAGGAGGCAGAGAGCTGCCTGGTTGCTCTGGAATCAGGTTTGTGTTTGCAAACAGATGATTTATGTGCTGATTTTTACTGCAGAGCTGCTGTTGGAAAGTTCAGTTCAGGCTTCTGTGTTGGTGGTTGTTTGACTTGAGCTGCAGTGAGGACTTGGTGTTGCTGCATAGTGGGGCTTTGTGTTTTCAATTCTTTTCTTCTAGTGCCTTAAGCAGAAACCAAATTGCCCAGTAGCAGCTTGGAAACAATGCAATAAAAGGACTTTTCTCTGTTATAATCACTTTTTGAGGGTTTTGGTAGATTCTGTACTTTTGTACTTTGAAATACTGAGATTTCTTGAGCTCACGGACAAACAAAATGGAATCTAAGTGCTGAATCTGAGAGTTCTGCAGACCTGAGACTTCTTTTCCACAGATTCTTTCTGGGATGAAGAGGAAACCAATTGCAGGGATGGAATGGCAGGAGGACAAAACCTGCAGAAAGGTAACTGCAAGCTGAGCAACACCTTTTGTTTGGCATTTGAAATCCACCCCAATCCTCCCTGTGAGAGGGATGCAGACCCTGCTGCTGGCTTTCTGCACTGCCTGTGGCTAATTAGATAGCTGTTAATGGATGCAAAGGGCTGTTTTTCCCCTGGAAACATGGCATTTAGACCTTGCCACTGTGACTTGAAGAGTTTGTGCTGTTTGTCATATTCAGCACTTTCATTGTTCAGTAATCACAACCTTTAACCTCATACCTTGGCATCAAGTTGAGATCTCTCCTGTTGTTAAGAACAGTGAGTGCACAGCTGTGCTGTGTTTCTCTCTTTTTTTTTCCCCTTTTCTCTCATTTTTTCCCTTTCTCTTAGAACTGGAAAGCCTCAAAGCCCAAGAAGAGGAACTTCAGAGGTAAGATGTCAAGTAAGATCTAAAGACCTAAGCAACAAGTGCACGTTCAGTTTTTAAGAGGGTTGGTGTGTTTTGAACCAATATGTCCCATCCCATGGGGTTGGTTTCTCCTTGCAGAGAGCTGTCAGAGATGGAGGCTGAGGATGAGCAGATGCTGGTTCAGATGGAAGAGTTCAAGCAGACTGAAAAGAGCTGCCGGGAACTCCTGGAGAAATATGAGTAAGGAAAAAATCCTTCAGGTTTTATGTTTAGCAACTACTTGAGACCTCACATTTGTACATCAATACATTTGGTTTGGTTTTCCTTGCTTGGTGTGGGAAATCTTGGGATGCTCATCTCCTCAACCCCTAGGATAAGCAAGAAATCCTGGTTGGAATTCCATGTGGGAGGCAGTGTTACTCCATTAACAGCTTTGCAGTTGTAGTCTGCATCCAGGGATTCTACATCTAACTCTCCTCTAATTCCAAAGGGAATGTTTATATAAAATTTATAGTATTATACATGAGTTCCCAGCAGATTCTTATATTCTGTTGGAATGTAAGAATCTGCTTGGAATTGGAAAATTCATTGGTGTGTTGCAGTAAGAGCTGCAAGTGCATGTAATGCTCTGATCTTTGCCCCTCAGGTGACTGTTTGGGCTGGTTGATTGAAACTTGGGGTGATGATGGTGGTGTTTTTCCCTGTTTTTCAGCTTCACTGAGTGGGAGATTACGGAATGGAATGAGCAGCAGGCAGTGTTTGATTTCCTTTATGATTCTGTGGAGCTCACAGTTGTGTTTGGACCCCCAATAGGTGAGTCCCAAAGTGTGAAGGTTTATCAATTTGAAAGGTTAAATAGTTACAGAATGGAAACCTAAAATTTCCATAGCTGTAAAGATCTGCTGGAAGGAAATAGGATATAGGAGATCCACCCCAGAGTTTAGTTTTTGGATTTGGAGATGGTTTCCATATGAAAAGCATGCAAAATTCCTGCAGAGGAATTGCTGTAAGTCCAGAGCAAAGTATGGAGATAATTGTTTCTTTTCCCTTTCCTTCTCAGATGGTGATGATTTTGGTGAAGATCTTTCCAGAACTATTGTTAGCCTGAACTTTGAATCCTTCCTGGATGGTGAGAGTTCGGAAAGCAGCTGTCCTGCTGCTCTGTTGTTGGGAAGACTGAATTTGGGCTTTGTCTGCTGATGCTTTATGAAATGGCTTTTCCAAGGTTTCTGGCAATGTGGTTTTCTTTTGTGTTACAGAGGAACAAGCTCCACCTTCCTCATGCTTAGTCCACAGACTCATCTTCCTGTTCATTGAAAGCCAGGGAAACTGGCAGGAAAAGTGTCCCACGCTGTACTACTTGCCCCAGGTAACATTCCAGAAAGGCCTTTAAGACTGAAAAACATGGAATCTTTTCTGTCACAGAGGAAATAAGGCTGAGAACCAAAACTCTCATGAATGCTTCAGCAGTGCAAATCAGAATCTGCTTCAGGAATGTTCTCAGGTGCCAGGGAAAGCCCTAAAAGCTGAAAGGAGGAAGTTAAGGCAAAAATAGTCCATTTGTTGTTCTACAAATTGTTGTACAATGTTTTTCCATCTGAACTGAGGTATTAATTACCTTAAATTAATTAGATTAAAAGTTAAATGACCTTTACTTTTGATATTTTCTAGCATAAACTCTGTCTCCGAGTGCCACACAGTCACTGCACGGTGCTGATGTGTTCGGTTTTTCCGATTGCCCCCTCAGGTTCTCCATGACATCTCTTTGGTGGTGAGTCGCTGCAAGAGTCTGGGAGAGGAAGTGGAATTTCTGGAGAGGTGGGGTGGAAAATTCAATCTCCTGAAGACAGAAATCAAAGACACAGAGTGAGTGACTGCGGATTATTGTGGGGGGTCCAGGAGTTGGACCTTGATGATCCTTTGGGTGGCCTTTCCAGCTCAGGATATTCCATGACAGAACAGTTCTCCAGAGAGTATTTCTAGAAAATAAGGAACAAAACTGGAATAGTTTCAATTTGGCTTCCTTAAAATCAAGATTTTTATGGAACTGATTTTAACAATTTATTTTAGTGCCATTGCACTAAAGGGTCCAAATGCATGGAAATGACACTGTTTATGACTCCAGCCACTTCCTGGCTATCCCACAGCCTCTGTTTCCTTACTGTTTCCCTGTTTGACTTGCCTCACTTCAGAATTGAGGCCAAAGTGTAGCGATGCAAAGGAAACAGAGCCATGAGCTTCCCTGTAGCTTGGAGCTTTGTTTCTGTTAGTCTGTTTGCCTCAGCCAGGCACAGTCAGTCACTGGTGGAGGCACTAAAACTAGGGTTTGTTTTCCTCAGCTTTTCTTTTCTCTTGTTCCTTCATTTTGTGGCTTATCCCAGTGGGACAAGACAAATATATGACAATTCTCCTATAATTTTTGGATGATCCTTTGAGTTATGTGTGTATTAACTTTTCCTGTGAGGGAAGTCTGGATACTAAACCTGATAAAGTGCAAAGATTCAGTTTATCTTATTTCTGAAGTTCCTGTGGGTCTGTGCTGGAACTCTTTAGCAGTTCCTGAGCCTCTTGCATCCAGTTATTTCCACTCCTGGCCCTAATTCCAAGGCTGGAGCAGCACATTGAACTGTTTTGCATGGATCTTTGTGTTTATTCCACAGGGTGAAGCTTTTGTTCTCAGCTTCTGCAGCTTTTGCAAAGTTTGAGCTGAGCTTGCCTCTCTCTGCCAGCTACCCCTCTGCTCCTCTTCCCTTCAGTGTCCAAACCCGCATTGGGAATATTGGGTGAGTTGGCAAAGCACCACTCCACATGGCTTCACTTCCAAGCTGGGGATGGGAAATTAAACACTCCAGATCCTCTCCAACCTGTGTGATAACTTGATCTTCCCCAGGGAGAAGGAAGTCTCTGCTGTTCTCTCCAGTGTTCCAGTTGGTCACCGCTACCTGCGGAGAATAGTCACCTCAATCCATCAGAATCTGCTCCAGAATCCCAGATGACCCACTGGATCCACAGGCAGGACTGAAGCAGTCAGAATGGGTAGCCTTTGAGAGACCTAAGGAGAAGGAAGAAATTCCTATGTCCTTTACAAATCCAAGTTGCCTTTTAGCTTGTCTCAGTCCCCAGTGGTCATGGCCTTCTTGGATAGTCATTCCTAGTGTGGATATTCTTCTGCCATAGCCTGTTAATTGTGTCCTGGGGTAATTCTCACAACTCTGGTCTAAACCAGTGATGAGTATTTTCCAAATTAACACAACTGGAATTTATTTTCCCTTTCATTGCTCAATGCAACACATCCCACCAGGCCTAGTTTTATCCATTCCCTGGAGCCCCTCCCAATACACACACTCTACCCCTGCATCTGATCAGTTCACTAATTAACCTACAGCAATTAACCAGGTGGCCAAACTCAGGAATAATTTTGGAAGTAAGACCAACAATCCCTGTGGTTGACCAGAGACTTCATGGTGGAACAGCCTTGAAGCCATCGCGATTCTCCGACTGAAGCTTGTTCAGTGTCTTAGCCCAGCACAATCTGTGGGTGCTGCTCCATTGTCCCAGTCTGGAATGCCTTGGAATGCTCCTTAAATTTGGGAGTCTTGGCAAGATCTGCCTTTTTGTGATGTATATTTTGTATATTGTGTGAGTTTGGTTGTTGAGCCTGATCTCCCCGAGCTGTGCAGAAACACCAACCCTGGTGGCTCAGCTGTTGTCCTGCAGCTGCAAGTCTGTATCCTGTAAAATATGTGGGAGTTAAGGATGTTTTCCCTGTGTTTCAATGTTTATATATTTTTCTTTTTGCAAATTTGCCTTCTCTTTGGAAGGCAGAAGTTCATTAAAGACTGGGGTAATTCTTTGTGCTTCGATTATTTGCCGCTCTTTGCACTGAAAATGTAATGCTAATACAGAAGTAATTTGCTTAGCTACTTGTGAGGAATTTTTTAATAGGAAATTGGGGTTTTCTCCTCTTTTCTCTTGCCTTTCCTTGTGCTAGTTCCCCATGTCCTGGCTTTTCAGAATTGGTTATCTTTGAGTTAGGCACACAGTGCCTAAGTTGTGAATGATTTGGGTATCACACCTGGAATTTTAAACTTCCTAAGGCCATTCTGGGTGCATTATTGCCCAGCAGAGAGTGCTGCAGCAATTCGTCAGGGCACTGCTCAGAAGTGTCCTCGTGCCTCTTGGGTGGGTGAGTTTAATGGGGCACATGTTTGTGCTTCAGAGGGGAAAAGAAATGGGAGGGGAAGATAAAAGGGAATGGGGAAGAGAAAAAAAGGTAAAGAGAAAAGTAAAAGGGAAAATAAGGGAAAAGAAAAAGGGGAGAAAGACTAAAAAGGGAAAAGTGAGAAAAGAAAATGGAAAAAGAAGGGGAAAAGAAAAAGGGGGAAATAGGAAAAAGGGAGAAAAATGGGGGACAAAGGGGAAAAGGAAAGAGAAAAGGAAAAGATTAAAAGAAAGGGGGGAAAGAAAATAAAAAGGGATGAGAAAGAAGGGAAAGGCAAAAAGATAAGGGAAAATAGAGGGGTAAAAAGGAAAAATTAAAAGAAAGGAAAAAGGGGAAAAATAAGAAAAAAGGGATAAGGAAAAGAAAAGGGGAGAGAAATGGATAAGGGTAAGAAGAAAAGGAGGAAAAAAGGTGAAAAGGGGGAAAAAGGGAAAAGAAAAGGGAGAAAAGAAGACAAGGAAGGGATGAGAAGAAAAGGGGAGAAATAAAGATAAAAAGGTGAAAATAAAAGAAAAAAAATGAAAGAAAAAAGGACATTGAAAATAAGAAGGCTATGAAAGAGAAGGGCTGCGCTGCCCCGCGGCTCCTCCCTGTAGGAAAAGATTAAAAGAAAGGGGGGACCAAATCCCTACCCTTATCCCCATCCCGATCCCCATCCCTATCCCCATACCCCATTCCTATCTCCATCCCCTATCCCCACTGATCCCTGTGAGTCCATCCCGATCCCGATCCCTGTCCCCATCCCTACCCTTATCCCCATCCCGATCCCCATCCCTATCCCCA